CCCAGACCAGCCCCTCGTCCCACGTGCCCTCAGTCCTGCCAGGGATGGAGGCACAGAGGGGAAGGACAGAGTCTCTGCCTCCGTTTATAGGCGAGGAGCCAGCTGTACTAGGGTGCCTGATTCATCTAGGACCCTCCTCCCCCACTTTCTACTAGGGTGCCTGATTCATCTAGGACCCTCCTCCCCCACTTTCCCTTCCACCTGCTTACATTAGCTGAGAGGTGGGCAAGGCCTTCAGCCTGCACTGCTCTCTGTTGGGGGAGCAGCAACATCTATCTGCCTTGCTGGGAGCTCCTTAGAAATGAAGAATCTGGGATCCCACTCCCATCTTGAGAATCTGCATTTTATCGCCATCCCCAGAGTGTTGTGAGCACACTAAAGTATGCGGAGAGCCGAGCGGGTTCTCCCGTGCCCTGTCCTGTTCCCTTTGGTGGGCTAGTACCAGTCCCCGTCTGCCAGCAGTGGCCCAGCCTCAGGGCTGAGAGGTGTCTGAACACGATGCCCGGCCCTGGCCTCCCAGACCCAGAAAGCCATGGAAAGCCCCAGACACCCCATTTTTCAAAGCAGTCTGGCTTTGCTGAGAACCACCCTGACAGTGAGGTTCCCAACTTTAACCCAGCTCTTCGCTCCTACCCATCTTCCTGCCCTCAAGGGTCTGAAAGCTACCAAGAATGGAGCCTTGTGAAATGAACTGCAAATTCCTTCTCACTAAAGTGTAAATGACACCACCAAGGCTCCCCTCCCTGGAGTCAGCAACTGGCTACTGGCTCAGGACAGATCTGTCCTTCATATGGTTGGTGGGCTTTGAGGCCAAGAGGGCAGGAGGAGAGAGGGGTTGGCAGGGGCTCTGCAAGACTGGGTCTCCAGTCCCTAGATGTGTGGGTGAGTGGACAAGGGGCTGGGAGACCAGAGCCCGGTGCCCAGCTGAGGTCTCCGAACCTTCCAGGAAGACATGCATGTGAGGACTGTGGAAAATTCCCAGGCTATTTTGGGCTGAGGCCCCCTTCCTGCCCTTTCCCAGGGTTAAGGCCCTGTTGACACACCCCTTCCTGGAGACAGTCAGGGTGGGAGTGCTTCCCGACCCCCCACCCAGGTCCCCTACCCACCCCTGGGCTCTGGGTCCCCCTTCCTTGGCGGGACACACACTTCAGGACCTGGGGGGTGACGGGAAGGGGGAGCAGGGCCGGGGCTCACCCTCGCCCACGTTCCTGCCACTGTCTGACGTACTGTAAGCTTCACCAGTTATTCGTTAGCTGTGGGACCAGGCAAGTCACTTGAGGCTTTGTGCCTCTGTCCCCTGTTAGTGAAATGGGGCCGAGCTGAGCTGAGCTGTGTGAAGCGCTGTGCGCACTGCCTGGCCCCAGCAAGCTCTTGTCAGGGTGGTGGGTCTCCCTCTCCCTGAACGGAAGCTCCTTCAGGGCAGGAATTTTCACTGACCTGCCTGCCCTTTCCTGCACATAGCAGGCGGCCCAGTAACTGTTTGAACTCTTCAAGGTCCCCTGGGCCAGTGCTGGCGCTCAGCGTACCGGGGGCGAGGCGACCCCGCCTGGTCTGTGGTGTGCACATACGCAGGCAGTGACATGCTGGCTTCAGGTGCACACATACATGTGCACATACACTCATGTTCAAACACGTGTGCACAGAGCCAAACACAGCATGCAGTCACATGCACGTACAGCCACACACATAACACACGTGCACAGACACACACAGACACGTGTGCACACAGCTCAGCAGCTGTGACGGGTCTTGGGCGTGACATTTGGCCTGAGTTTGCTGCAGGCCAAGGCCCATTCGCAGTCTGGCCTAGAGCCTCCTGCCAACCTGAGCCTCAGGCGCCTGTTTGCAAACTCCCCTCAGCTGTAGGAAGTTGAGGGGCAAAGAGTGGGGGCTAGTCGCGGAGGGTGGGCCCTGCCTCCTCCATCCAGGGTCAGCTTCAAGGCCACCCCTGGTGTTGCTGGGAGAGCAGGTGCCCAAACTGTGCTGGGGGGGTGGGGGCCCCCACCCCCGCATCTGTGTATGTTGTGGGGGGGCAGCAGTGGGCTCCAGAGCTAGCTTCTGGGCTGCTGGCTGCCCCCTCCCCCAGCTGTTTTCCTGACAGCTGGACTTTAACCCAGGTCTCCCCACACAGAGGCCATTCACTCCTCCTCCCCCTCCGCAGGCCTTGGGGTGGGCTGGCCCCCCTCCAGGCCTGCTCCAGCTGCCCCAGCTGCTCTCCAGCTCAGATGGCCCATGAGAGGGGCCCGGGTGGCGGTGAAGGCTCCTGCATCTCCCAGGCTGGCACCTCCCTTCCCATCACCCCTCCCCAAGGCGCTGGTGTCCTCTGTACCTCAGTTTCTCCCGCTGCCAGGTGCACCGGCGTGTAGCGCCCTGCTGCTGGGCTGCGCGGCACTGACGTGAATACCAGCAGGGGCTTTGGGCTCTAGTGCTGGCTAAGACCCTGCTCTGTCCCAACCCCAGTGCTGAGTCCCAGGGACAGGGGGACATGGAGGGACCCCATGCTGTCCTCACATTACTCCCCCCTCGAGACAGGCTTCCATCGGCATCTCTGGGGGATTGGGTATGCTGAGGGAGTTACGGGGGCTGGGGTGGAGAGAGAAGGGGGCCACCGATTTGGGCCTGCTTCATTAACCCAGGGGGAGGTGGGCATGGCAAGGGGCATGGGGACAGACAGACAGACGTGGGTGTGAAGCATAGAAGGCACGTGGTAATGGTGATGCCCCCTGGTTCCTGGGCTGGCCTTGCCCTCCTGCCACTCACCCCTCCTTCCCCACTGCCCCCTACACAGTCTCCTTGCTGGCCTTCAGGCACACCTGCCCTCGGCCAACCTCAGGGCCTTTGCATAGGCTGTTCCCCCCCACTGGAAGAGCCTCCCTCTTTTTTACAAATGGTTCATTCTTTCTTACTGTAGGACCTGACTTGCAACTTCAGTAGAGTGGGACCTCCACCCTGTTACTTTTTACATCCTTCTGTGTATTAATTACCAGTCCTTTCAGCAATCTGTAACCATCTTGTTTGTGTATTTATTTAGCTGTTTCTTCTCTGGCTCCAAATTCAGCCTATGTCTTTAGTACCACGAACAGGGCCTGACACCAGGCACATAAGTGTTGAATGACTTTATGATGACAGTTCTAACAATCAGAGCTGACACTCCATGCTCACTTGTTCTGGATGGAGGGGGTGCAGAGTGCTTAGCATGTGTTATTTTATTTCGACTTCATGATGGTAGTGTGCAGTCAGAACTGTTAAAATCTCCATTTTCCAGACACAGAAACTGGGGTCCAGAGAGGCTAAGTAACTTACCTAATATCACACAGCTGGCAAGTGGTGGGATTTGAAGTCACACATGTGCCTGACTCTAGGGGAAAGAGGGAGATTTTGGATAGAGGGGGGAGGGCAGTTCCCCCGCCACACTCTGGTGTCCCTGGCTGCAGTGGTCCTTCCTGCTGTCCTGGGCGGGGCTCTCCCTTCTCTGGGCCGGCCCCCTTCCCAGAACCCCAGGCATTGGAACATTCTAGGACTCTATGACCTGTGCTGGTGGGTCATGCCAGAGCCCTGACCCCCAGGCGAGCGGCCGGGGCCTTTGTGAGGTGCAGGCTTCCCGGACTCACGGTCCACCCTGGCCGCGGCTGCAGCAGAGAGAAGGGTCAGGAGGTAGCTATGGCGCTTCCTTCAGAGAGCCAGCCGGCCCACTCCCTTTCCAGCCAGATAGAACTCAGTCCTGAAAGGGGAGTGTGGGGGAATGTGGAGGGAGAGGCTTTGTCCTTTGGGGGGAGGAGGTGGCCCTTTCCCCTCCAAGGAATCAGGCCTGGTTCTTAGGTGGTTAGGGTTGGGGAGCGGAGGGGCATCGCCGAGCGATGCAGGTTGAAACCTCGGTGCCCTGGGGCTGCGTGATGACTGTAGATGTGGCGGGAGGGGCAGCGGACTGGAGGCTCAGGGTCCTCAGACGCCCCCCACTCCCCAACCCCCGCTGTCCTGGGCCAGACCTGGCTCTGCTCCACCTGTGTCCCCATCACTAGCCCTGAGCTGATGCTGAGTGACGCCCACCCAGCTGACCCACTTTGCGGGTGGGAAAAGCGATCCCAGGGAGGGGGAAGGACTCACCCAAGGTCCCTTGGCTTCTAGGCTTTGCTCTTTCCTCCTGACCTGGAGCCAAGGGTGTGTGAGAGAGGTACCTTTGTGGTCACATTCATTGTGTTGAGTACAGTGGCCACGTGCTGCTCTTGACAGGGCTGTTAGAGTGAGGCAGCCCCCTCCCCTCCCCGGCCCTCTGACCCCTGTTAGGGGTCACTGAGGGAATTTGATTTCTTAGCAGCAATCGGAGATTTGGGCTGGGTGGACATTCACTTAAAGGCCTGCATCAGAGTGAGGGATCTGGTGGAGATGCTGCCTTTGAAACGCTCCTGCCCCTCAGGGTCCCTTGGGCTCGCCCACCAGCCCTCTCCTGGATGCAGCCCTGTGAAAGCCCCTCGGGGATGCAGGCTTGGGGTCTGAGCCTTCTCTGGTTTGTGTCCTGAAGTTTCCTGGAGGAACACTGAGTGTTGTTCCTTCTTTTCCCTCCTCCTTCCCAGCACTTAGCGGGGGTCAGGAAATGTTTGATGAGTGACTGGAGTCCCGATCGAGATGGCATGAAAGCACCCCTGCCCACCCTGCCTGCCTCCCTGCTCCCTCCCTCTCATCCTTTCACAAGGATTTACTAAGTGCCCCAAGTGTGCCAGGGTCTGTGCTGGGCATTAGGGATGTAGAGGGGGCCATGGTGTCCTTGTCACCAGGGCGACCTGGCACTCCTATGATAAAGAGAGGCCCATGGCTGCTCTAGGAGCCCCGGCCAGGTGCCTGACCCGGCTGGGGCTGGGGCAAGCCGGCCGTGTTTCCGGAGAAGGTGACTCCATGTGGAATGAGCCTCCAGCCCCTGTTCCACCACGAGAGGAATGAGCCTCAGATGGCGGACTCTCAGACGTGGGGGTGGGGTTGCATCTGGGGGCCCCTCCTTGCAAGGCCAGAGCCTCTGAGAGCCCCCTGTCTCTCTCCAGGTCAGCCATGTCATCTGAGCCTCCTCCTCCATCACAGCCCCCCACCCATCAGTCCTCGGTTGGGCTGCTGGACACCCAACAGGCCCGAGATCGCTCACCGTCCCCTCTTCGGGGCAACGTGGTCCCGAGCCCACTGCCCACTCGCCGGACAAGGACCTTCTCCGCGTGAGTCTCTGGCTGACTGGGGGAGGCTTCCTGAGATAGGTCGCCTGCCCGAGTCCAGAGAGCCTCCATGTCTCTGGCCACCTCTGTGCCTCAGTTTCCCTGTCTGTCAAACGAGTGATTGAGGGTTGGGTAATGGCTGATGGTTAGAAATTGGCCGAGTGCCTTGTAAACTCTGGATAACACTGCCCCAGGCTCATGGGAGCCCGTCACCAGCTGGGGACAGGGGATGGGGGTGGCAACGGGTGAGAAATTGCTAAGGTCGTAAATCATTAGGTTTAACCACACACAAGCCTCCTGTCCTGTGGGCCCTTGACTCCATCAGCTCTAATATGGGGATAGTAGAGGACCCACTCGGCACCTGGCACGTCCACTCAGGCCAGTGAGTGGAGTCTGCTGCTAACAATTAGCCTTCCTTGGGACGCTCAGAGAGCTTTTAGTCAGATGGGAAAACTGAGGCCTGAGAAAATCTGCCGGCATCATTCAGAGAGTCACCCTCACCAGGATCCGTGTGTTTGGTTCTTAGAGTTGTGCAGTGCACAACCTGCACAGCTGTACGTGGGGGCCCTGGCCAGGATGGGCAGGGTTGTGGGTGGGGACTAGGATGAGGTGCGTGTGCCACGGAGAGCAGGGGGGCCAACCTGGAGGGCTCATGGGGGCCCCTCACACTTTCCCCTCTGTGCCAGGACGGTGCGGGCTTCCCAGGGCCCTGTCTACAAAGGAGTCTGCAAATGCTTCTGTCGGTCCAAAGGCCACGGCTTCATTACCCCAGCTGACGGCGGCCCCGACATCTTCCTGCATATCTCCGAGTGAGTCAGTGGCCAGTGCCGGCGGGCTGGAGCCGGGGTGGGCACTGCCATGGTCCCAAGGAGGCAGGGAGAGTGTGTGACTCTAATGGGTGCCAGGCATGATGAAGGTTTGAGACTAGCCATGTGTGACTCTGCTTGTGACCTGTGTGCGACCATGTTCAGGGGTGGAGTTGTGAGCCCGTAGGTGATGGGGGCTGTGTGTCAGAGGCTGCAGGCAACTGTGTATGTGTGTGTGTGTGTCTGTGTGTCTGTGTGTGAGTCGAGAACCACTCGGGGCGGGAGGTCTGAGTGACCCTGTCCCTTCCTGGTGAGGAGGGATGCCCTGTGAGCAGAGGGGAGCTGTGTATGGGCAGGGGGCTGGTTTCCTGCACAACTGGGGTCGGGGGAGCGGGGATTGGCCTGGGGAGGCTGGGGGCTGCCTGATCTCTGCTCCAGGAAGGAAGTTTGGAGCTGGGCTCTTTCTCCCGCAATTCTCTCACTGACGCCCTTCCTTCCTGAGTGTCTGGAAACCCTGGGGTGGGGGTGCTGTTGGCCCAGGGCGGGTCCCACACATCCTTGGCCTTGACTGGAAGGCGTCCAGCAGCCTGTGCCTCACTTCAGATCTTCTAGGCAGCCGACAGATCTGTAGGGACCTGATCTAGTCTCCCACCCCTACACCAGTCTTCGATCTCAGCACCCCCATCTTTCAGTCCGTGACAGGCAAAGTCCTATCCCACACAGCAGACCTGACCAGGTACGGAAACCTGTTTTTGAAATTAGGATCCTGTTGCAAATGTCTGCTGTGATGGGCGAGTTATCCCTTCTTACCCTCGCCAAACATTCTCACACTCCAAGTCTTAAATACACCCCCACCCTGTTCGGCACAGACATGAGGACAATGCTAGAGTGATGCATTTCATGTAGGTATGAACACGTACGTGGATGCAGAGATGTATCTCCATAGTGCCTCTTTCCAGAAAGGACATGTAGTGGTTTACAAGGATACACACAGTGCACCATGAAAAATTAGTAAGGAAAACATGGGATTGAGGGGCACAAATAAGAACGATGGAGATACTGTGATGTTTGGTTCCACTGCTAGAAACGGGCCACACATTTATTCCAGAGCTTCCTGGTGGCCACATCAAAGAGAGCAGCACCGTTTGCAATATGATTCTTTGGTCAAGACGAACCAGTTCCAGGGGAGCTGGCTGGTCTGTGTTCAGGGTTGAAGGGGCTTGTCTTCCTGGGGTCTCATTAAGGGGCATGAAGATGGGTACCTCCCCATCACTGGTGAGATGGTGACCCCTGTCCCATAGAAAGTAAGAGAAAAGGACTTTCTCAAAAGCACAGTGGGATTCTGAGGAGGTGGACAGCAGAGATATGGCCTGGTTTCTGGGACTCCTGGACCAGGTAGGGGTGGTGGTAGGGGCCAGGCCATCTCCCAACTCCAGTTCTCTGGCTCAGACTGGCTCTCCATGCACCCCTATCCGTAAGGCCCACGGCACTCGGGTTTAATATGCCATGTGAGCACCCCCAGGGGGCGGAGCTCTGTCTCTGTGTCAGCATCCGAGGTCCCAGGGAAGGAGCCGACTGGGTCAGAGGCTCCTGAGCCAGGGCCAGAGAGCCGCGGGGGATCCCTCTGGTGGCAGGGCAGGGCAGGGGGCAGTTCCTCCGCGGGCCGGCGTCCTGGGCGCCGCGTCGTGGGGCTTCTCTGAGTGCTCTCTCCCCACCCCGCAGCGTGGAAGGGGAGTACGTCCCAGTGGAAGGCGACGAGGTCACCTATAAGATGTGCTCCATCCCGCCCAAGAACGAGAAGCTGCAGGCTGTGGAGGTGGTCATCACCCACCTGGCGCCGGGCTCCAAGCACGAGACCTGGTCCGGCCACGTCGTCAGCTCCTAGGAGGGGCCGGAAGCACCCCTTCTCCCTGGCTTGGGGGCGACTCTGGGGGAGGGGGAGGCAGGACCAAACTGGAGAGGACATTCTGCTGCTTGAGATGGGGCTTCAAGGGGGGAGTGTGGTCCCTTTCAAGTATCTCCTGGAGGAAGGGGTGTGGGGGGCAGGCACGGGGTGCTCTTGGCCGCCAGCACTGCCTCTGACCATCGCAACCAACATCTCACCATCTGAAAAGTATTAAAAGCATTGAAAAAGGAGAGGTGCCCCACTGGTGGCTGAGTGGAGGGTCCAACCCTGGCCCAGGGACTGAGTCCTCAGCCCTGAGAGTCTTTGGGGGCTCAGAATTCCCAATCTGGCCTGTGGGGGGGGGATGTGGACCCCACATATTTTCCCAGGAGGAATTCCCACCCAAGCGCCTCGCCTTGTGTCCCTTGTCAGCCCTGGAACTCTGGACAGAGCAGGCTTTTCTGATTCTTGGCTGGTTGTGCCAGGGGTCCGGGAGGGGGTGGGTGGAGGGTGTCTTTGGTGCCTTTGCAGCGGGAGGCGTCAGAGCCGGACGTCTGGGACCCCGAGTGCTCCGAGCCGAACCCTCACTCTTTTCAAAGCCTGGTCCTTTCTGTCCGTCTTCAGATTGAGTGATCCTGGCTTAGCAGCCCCTTCACATCCCTGTCATTTGGGTAGTGGGTGAGGGTAAGGATGGCGGTGGGTGAAGGAGGTGTAGAGAGGGGAGGGTCTTTGTTTAAAAACAGACCTTTCTCCGGACCCATCCAGGAAAGAGCAGCCAGCTTGCTTCCTGACCGCCTGGTAGAGTCAAAAGTTGGAGAGAAACACCTTTGGTGCGGTTTTCTGGAAAACTCGCGTGAAGAACGGCTTAGGGCTTTTTTTTTTTTAAATAACTGAAGCTCTCACCGGAGCCAGCTGTTTACACTTTGCCGCCCACATTGCGAACCTTTGTAGACGTTCCCAGTAAGCAGATCCTTCAGATTTTCTTTGCTGTGGTTTGGTTTGCTTTAGTTGTGATTTAAAAATAGAAGTAGCTGGGAAATAGGTTTTGAAATAGGTGGCCAACGTGTAGTCAAGGATCCCCTTGTCGACGCAGGGAGGCAAGCTCTTCAAAGAGGGCGCCCTCCCCCAGGCTCCTTGCTCTGTGCACGGTGTCTTCCAGCCTAGAAGTGGCTTCATCCAAAAGTGGGGGGGAGGCCAGAATTGTTCTGCTGAGGCCCAGTGGGGTTGGGTTTTTTTTCCTAAGTGTAACTGACCTGTGACACTGTTAGCTCCAGGTGTGCAACACAGTGGTTCGATGTCTCTATACATTACAAAGTGACCACTGGAGTTGTTTTGAAATAGGCAGGTGAGTGTGTTGGTTATGGTGTGCAGTGAAACACTGCAGTTGAGGAAGTTGATCCTTTTTCTCCTGGCCTTTCGTGCCCCTGGAGGGGCCCTCCCACCTCTGCCTTCTGCTAGTCTGCGGTGGCCTTTCCCCTCCGGCCTTGGAAGTCCCTCCCTGGAGGCCTCTGACCATCGAGGACAGACCACACTTCCACAGCCACGGTTGAACGCTCGCATCTTCACCCCACCTGCTCCCCCAGCGTCTCCATGGCCTCGGCCTCACCTTGGCACGCGGCTAGGGCTCCCTGTGGGGCTGGGAGTCGGGTCTGCCCCTCGGAGGTGATCTTTGGGCCCACTCGCTGGGTAGAATGCTTTGTAAACAGCCCTTGCTCTGTCCTTCCCGTGTGGCCACGTCTTTCTCGTCCCCTCCCTGCTCAAGCACAGTCTCAATTTACAGACTCCTGGAGGCTCTGGGAGGACGGACGGTGTTGGTGACAGAGCCAGGAACAGAACCCGGGATTGATTCCTGACTCCACATCTTTCCTCCCCTGGCACCTCCCTCTCAATAAAGTTTGTTTTGTGTGAGGCTGTGTGTGGTGTGTTGACGCGGAAGCTGGCTGCCAGCAGGCCCAGGCGTCTCCCTGAAGGAGGCTGGCACAGTCGTTCTGCTGTGCAGTGGGGTTTTCTGGGGGAATGAGTAAGAATGTGGGACCATCCCTCCTTCCTTACTCATCACCCTCATGCAGAGGGGAGCTTAGCAGTAAGGTGTAGCTTCGTGACAAAAGAAAATGCCACTGACTCGGTCAGTTGTGGGTAAATGCCCTGTCGATGCATTTAAACTTACACTGTGCGAGCAGGAGCAGTCCCTGTGCAGGGCGGTCTGGACGCAGGGAAGTTTAGAAGTGGGAGGTAAGGCAGCCCAGGTTTCCAGGAGCGTGGTGGGGAGATGTGGGGGACTGGGTCGGGGTGGGAGAGCCTGGAATGTCTTCCTTGGCCAGTATTCCCCTCAGGAGGTAGATGATGACTGGGTGGTGCAGAGGTGAACATTTTAATTGTAATAATGTATTAATGTTCAAGGTGCATTAGGAATAGTTACACGCAGCCCATCCAACCTGTTTAGGGAGAGGCCAGAGCAGGCATTTAACTCCAAACAGATGTGTCGACGTGTGGCTCGAGGGAGGGCCTGGCAAGAAGTCAGTGGGATGCGTTCCAGTGGCTTTGGGGGTGCTGTGGGGGACAGGGCAGAGGTGGACGGGAGCCTGGAGACCTGGCTGAGGTGGCCTGACGGGCCAAGATCCAGAAGCACTGCCTGGGGAGGAAGAGGAAGCAGCTCTCAAGACAGGAAGTGATTCAGGGCCACCTCCGCCCTCCTGGCCTCATCCACACGTCTGCCCAACCCGTTCCTCTGCTCTGTTCTCTATTCTCTGTTCCCCAGTCACTCTCCGCCCAGTAGCTTGACAGACCTGGTGTCACGCACACAGGCCTCCCCGTCCCTCCCCCTCCCCAGGGATCAAGTTCAGGCTCCTCACCACAGCTTAAGAGAGCCTCCTCCAGAGCCTCCTCGCTGGCGGCCTCTCCCACGTGTAGCTGCCGCTGGTCTTTCCCCTGAGGCTTCTGAAGTGACCTTGAGTGCAGGGCCAAATTCCTGGTCAGCTCTGGAGTGCTGCAGAGGTGGTGGGGGAGACACTTCCTTTCTTAACTGCCCCAGGCTGACCTGGGGTGACCTCTCTGCTTCCTTCTTGCTCAACACTGAGCTTCTGTGTCTCCGTTTCTGGTGACAGTGTCTCCTATCCTGGAACTTAAGGCTGTAGGGAATGACCGAGCTCATCCTTGTCTGGGCTAGTGAGAGCTAGAGAGGGCATGCACACTGGTCATGGTGCTTTACTGAGGTTAACTCGGTTAAGTTACACGTGTGGTGGGGAGTAGATCCCAGCTGACAGATGAGCAAACTGAAGCTGGGATGAGCTAGCTCGTCCTGTCACACAGCAGCATGACGAGGCTCTGAATCTTGGCCGCCTCCGCTTACCTGCCCACTATAGAGCCTGCTGCTTTGTGAGCTCGTGGAAGGCACCAGCGCTGCACACATGTTCCTCGGCTGCTGTGACCTGATGTCCCCACCAGAGAGCCCGGTGGGGAGGCCCTGGGTGGGGGGTGCTGTGGGATGCCTAAAGGGAGAAGAGATGGAATACATGAGCTGGGGAGCGTGGACTGGGCTAGGACTACAGAAGCAGGGAAGGATGGTAGAAAGTCCGAAGTTGTGCAGAGGTGGAAGGCAGGTGGGGGAATTCTGACAGTGCAGGGGTGGGAGCCCAGCCTGCCGGCCTGGGGGGACCTGCCCAGGGCAGCCGTGTGCAGGGCGGTGAAACGGTGGGCCGTGTGTCTCGTCGCACAGGTTGGGACAAGACTGTGTCAGACTCAGCTGTCGTGATATGATAAGTTAAGGAAACATCTAGGGAACACTGGCGCCTTCCCCAGTGGGCAGAGAAGCGTGGAGGAAGGGTCTGTGCCAGTTGGAAAGGGCAGCTCGTGGGTCCCAAAGGGCTGAGTTTTCCTCCCAGGATCTGAGAAAATACTGGTTTACCTTTAACCTCGCCGCTCACTTAACCAACCAGAAGAGACAATAGGAACCAGAATGAGAAATAGGAAACAATAAATCACTTTAATTTGCTCCTTTTCATTTTGAAAGATTATTACAGTATCATTGGTAAAAATTCACAAAGAAAGACGCCGCCGGACGGCTGCGTCCTGGGAACCGTTGAGAAGGGTCACTCCTGCGAGAGGTGCAGGGGTGGCTGAGGGGGCCGACCTCACACCCTGGTGCTGCGTCTTGCTTTCACCCGTGTCCTGATTCTAAGACAGCCAGGGCTGGGGTGCAGTAGGTGGCAGGGAGGCGGGGTGTTCAGGGCACCCCCCCACCCCGATTCAGGTTCTGGTGCGTGAGCCCCAGCAGAGGCCACACTGTGGACCGACGCCGCCCCAGCACCAGTCTTTGGAGGGATTGTGAGTCCTGCTGTCTCCAGATGCTGAAAAGTGACGTGTGAACCGTTTTCTTGGAAAGCTCTTCTGTGATCTGGACAAGGGCCTGAGCTGTCTTCCAGTTTCAAGAGGAACTTGCAGAGGGGAGAAGGGAGGAGTGAGGGTTGCAGGCCCAACCACGGCTGCTCCCAACCCTTGGGTCAAAGTCTGGGTGACGGAGGACCTAGGGGTCACGCTTATTATTCAATGCTCTGCAGAGAAACAGTGCAGCTCCCAGGCTGGCAGTAGTTCAGGCTCTTACCTGACTGATCCCTGAGAAAAAAGGGCAGAGAGGCCCTGGGGACAGTGAGGAGGAGGTCCTTTGGGTGACAGCCCGGGCTAGTCTCCCGACCTGGGCTCAGAGCAGGGCAGGGCTGTGTGCCAGGTCCTCGACGGGGCTTGCGGGTTCCATTGCCCCATCGTGACGGCCAGAAAGCTCCTCAGTGTAGTGGATACAGCGCTAAGCCGCGTCCTGGGCCGACTGGGCGCAGGGTCCCTGGGGGTCAGTGCTCACTCGGCCAGCCATCGTCCCCACCTGGGCAGCACGGGTCACCTAGCTCAGTGCCGCCCCAGGACCAGGACGCCGTGTTTCAAAGCCCCCACCCAGCTGACACTCGTTGGGGAGCCTCATTTCCAGAACAGTTTTGAACCTTCTGCCCTGGGGTCGGATAGTTGTAAATGTCCTGTCCTTTCCCATCACCAAAGCCCCCTTTCCAGTACTGAGGCCGGAGGTCAAACATTGATACTTGTTAGATTTTCCACAAGACCCATGAGCACACTGGTTCTTTTTAGAATGATGGGGAAGTTTAAAAATAGAAAAATAGAAAAAACCCAGGTGGACTGTGATTGCACGTATCAGGGCGGTGGAGGGTGCGGTGAGGGATAGGGTTGGGGGGGCGGAGTCTGAGATAAAGTCCTTTGCGGGAGGGAGTCCTTTGAACCCTTCTTGACAAGCCTTTTCTTCTCCCTTCCCGCTGCTTCCGGAGGCGCAGGGCCACCCCCCAAACCCCGCCGCCCGAGGGCTGTAGTGGTGACTGCAAGGTGGCCGGGGGTGGGCGTGGGGGGCACCTCGCCGCCAGGATGCGCCCGCTTCCCCGGCGGAAGGGACCGTCAGCAGAAGAGCTCCTGGCAGATCCTGCGCGTGTCGTCGGGCGCCGTCACGGTGTAGCCCACCGTCCTGGGGTCTGTGAAGATCTCGTGGTCGTTCCCGCCCTGTGAGACACAGACACAAAGCGGATGCAGGCGCCACACGGTTTATCCCGGGCTGTGGAGGCTGCGACCCCGGGAGAAACGAGGACTTTGCGATTTGACTGCGCAGGGAGATGTCTTCAGTTACCTTTTTCTCAGTTTCCAGAAGAGGAAGAAACAAGTACTGTCATTCATTACCCAGAAAGGGTTTCTCACCTTTCCTTGAACTGCAATTTCACTTTGGAACATGTAATTATGCCTAATGCAAGAAATCACGATGTTCCCGGGAAGATCTGTCTAAAGGCTTATTTGTCTGTAAAGCAGGCAAGCACAGGGGGTGACAGAAGTCTCACTGCCATCGATTTGCCTGAACTGTGCCCAGACTTTTCTAATGTCACAGGGGACTGTGGTAGGGCAGACGGTCCAGAGCAGCGCTCGGAACTTTCGGGGACGATGGACACGGTCTATCCCTGACCTGACAGAGGAAGTGAGATTATTTGAGTTTGATTCATTTAAGTTTACACAGCCCCATGTGGCTGGGGTCTGAGCCAGTGGCCTGGGTTTGGACCCTGGTTCTAGCACTGATGAGAGGAGTGTTGTGGGTGGCTCCCCGTCCCTGAAATGAGGATGATGGTGGAACTATGCCCTAAACACCAGGGCAGTTAGTCGATGACCAGTCCTGGGATCAGCATCGGCGCTTGGCTAGTGTGGCTTCCCAGTCTTTTCACAAATTACTTCACCAGCCATGCTGCTGGGGGTAGGGGGGTGGTCCTGTCCCTGCGGGTCCCCCAGTCTGTGCGGCTGGAGGGTGGTGGTCCTGTCCCTGCGGGTCCCCCAGTCTGTGCGGCTGGAAGGTGGTGGTCCTGTCCCTGCGCATCCCCCAGTCTGTGCTGCACCTCCCGCCCCAGTCCCACCAGTCTCAGCCTTCCCACCACACCTAGCCCTGCAGGAAAGCCCTGCTTTTCTTCTCATGGAATTTCCTATGTTTTCCTCATCAGACTGGATAAGCAGCCTAACTCAAAGTCTTGGGGAAAAAATCAACCGGTTTAACATATGATGAAAATAACTGCAGAGAAAGGGTTTTTCTCATAAAGCACAAAGCACGAAGCTGATATGGAGAAAGTGGAAAACCTGACATCCTTCTAAAGGACTGACACCTGAAAGGACTGCGGCTTTCATCTTTGTAAGGAACCACCCACGCCCCAAGCAGACGGCTTCCCCAGGCGGAGGTGAAGTTCAAGACTTCAAGAGGGCCCGTTGCTGGGGGCCCAAGGTGCACTGGGTGGGGAGTCACGTTGGGAGCCCACCACCTTGGGGTGCATCCGGGAATGTGCTTTCCCAGTGCTTGGAAGCCTGCCAGCCTCATGAATTTACATCCTGTGATTCTGGTCGTTTAGATGGCTCTGAGTTCATGGCCAGCAGATCCTATACAGTACATGTGAAATCAATTCTTATCATTTAAAAAGTCAGATTTCTCTTAGGAACAGCTTGGTGGGTGGAAAGCAGCACAGAGCACCTAATGAAGGCAGAAGGAACTCCTGCTCTGTCCAGAAAAACCCAACACTTTCACTCCCTCGTCACTCACCAACTCAGGAGGGAGGCGTGAGTTCTCACGGATTAACCCAACAAATCTTGTAACAGAGCGGGACCCTGTGGGGCCTTCCTGGCCAGACCCCTCCCCCATGTCCTCTGCTGTAGCTTCTCTCTGACCTACCCAGCTAATAGTATCTCATGCATATGTCCTGAGTTTTTCAGATGCTAAAGACCACATCCAAAGGGAAGAAATTAACTACTTGATCAGGAGCACAGAGCCCCCAGGCCTTCTGGCACCTAAGGATTGATTAAAATCAACCAGTCTGAGAATTGTGCACAGCTGATCACAGACCGTGGGATGCCCTGCCCTCACCTTGCCTTTTTAAAAAGGCTCAGCTGAAACCCATTGGGAGTTTGGGGTTTCTGAGCATGAGCAAGCTGTTCTCCTGGCCCGGCCCTGCGGCAGATCTTTCTCTGCTCCAGACTCCCAACATTTCAGTATTTTTTGGTCTCATGTGCGGGGCACATGAGCTTGCATTCCGTAACAATTCTCGTGAAACCAGCCTAGGAGTCTGCGCTTGTGGCGGGTCGACCCCAGCCTGGGGCAGCCCCTTCCCTGGGTCCCAGCAGCTGCCTGAGCTCACCTCCCTCCAGGCAACGGGGAGGACTCCCCAGCAGGCGCTGGCCACCCCGGCCCAAGGCTGTTTGGAGCCGAGAAACGTCTGGAGCTCCCATCCACCTTCAGTGTGGCCTCAGGGTGAGTGGCTCCAGTTTGTGCAGGCTGGGCATTCTCTCTCCTCATCTGGGCTCATTCCCACTGGGAAGTGAGCCACGCTGGGTCTGTTCTCTTTTGAGAGCTGGGCCCTTCTGTTTGGAGGCCTCCATCTGGAAGTGGAAGTTTTAGACTAAATCTCCTCTGATTTTCTGTCTGTGAGACCTAAGCTTATTTGTTGTTTGTGTTTTTGTGTGTATCATTTTAGGGTGAGCCGCTCCGGCTTGTGCACGATGGGAAATTCTACCCGCTCCACCTGGGCCTGTTCCCTTCTGGCAAGTGAACCATTCCAGGCTCACGGGGGGGCCGCTCTGAGTCCATTCTCTTTCAGGACTCAGGCCACTTTGGAAGTCTCCATCTGGGAGTGGAAGTGGAAATTCTGGGCCTCACCTCCTCTGATCTTCTGTCTGTGGAACCATGTTTGTTGTCTGTCAGGACCAGCACTGGGGGGGGGGTGAGACATCCTTGGTGCTCATGTGTGATGATACTAGGGTATCCTTCCCTATTGCTTTGGCTTCACCTGCTCCCACAAATAAAAGAAAATGCTGTTTTGTACAGTAACACTGCGTGGGCTCAGTACTGCCTAAGATCTGGGGAACGCTGGCCCGCAATGGCTCTGCTATTATAAAGTGGACCTTCTGCAATTTGGCTTTTATCTTGGGGACATGTGAGTGGGTGTCTAGGTTCTGCCGAAAGTGAGGTGTGTGAATGTAAGCACATGATATATAGATACATGTTATTGTCTAGTGGATATCTGGGAACTGAAAAAAAAAAAAGTCCTTGAAAATAGCCAAGATGATTGCGTTTTGTAAAAGCAGAGGAGGAACCTGCATTCCTCTTCCCGTGCCTTTGAGATATAATGAGTTACCTGGGCTCCCAAGGGGAAGAAGTTTTCATTTTTATTTTTCATTTATTTTTATTTTTTAACTTTTTAAAAATTATATTATTTGTAGGCAGGTAATTAGGTTTATTTATGTATCTTCTGATGGAGGTACTGGGAATTGAACCCAGGACCTCATGCATGCTAAGCACACAGTCTACCTCTAAGACATACCCTCTTGCCCCCTGGGAAAAAAGTTTTTAAAAAATCAAGTGAAGAAGCTGTGAGATCTCTGGTTCTATCTTTACATGAAAAATTAACCTGTAAATGAGCTCTATTTAATTGATCTAAAAGTAAGGGCTTACAAGTTAAATACTTCTAAGTATTGTGAACAAAAAAATACTGCAAGCCATAACAGTAAACAAAGAAGGCCGAGGCCATGAATTCATCAGCCACTGCCCCCCTCCCCGCCCCCAGCGAGCTCACGATGCGGGCAAGCAGGCAGCAGGACGTGAAAGGACCGGACACTGGCCCTAGAGAGTTAGGTGCGTAGCAAAGGAATGATTTTAGTAAGCCCAAATTTTTGTGCCTTCCCATACATAGAAAAGTGCTAAATTCTTTAACTTGAGATGTCTGGTTTTCTTTAGTAAACAATAATCTTACAATGTTCCGACTATCTGGTCTTTGTTGTAAAAACTCCTATACATGGCTTCTCCCCTGCCTCTGCGGAGCAGCCCCTCAGAGCCATCTGAGAGGCTGTCATCCCAGGCTTGAAGGGGTTTGAGTCCTCAGAAATGTCCGTCAAATAAAACGCAATGGTCAACTTTTGGGCTGCGCATTAATTTCAATTGATAGTTTTGGCGACCAGATGGGACCCAGAGCGGACTCCTCTCCTTTGCCTGAACTCTAAGAGGGTCCAGAGCCTTGGTACCAGCATACTCCCTCTTGGGCCCATCCGCCTCCTCGGGGAGTCCAGATGAATTTGGGTGAGTCTCTCCTGGTTCTAGGATCTCCTGTTATTGGTTGATGATCCTAAGTTTTATTCAGTGGCGTTAAATTTCTGTCTGGAGGAATAGGTTATCCTTGAAACTTAGTTTCTGGATTATCCTCAGTGAAAGCCACTGGGAAGATTTTATTCAGTTTAGACACTAAGTGGTTTTATCCTCAGTTGAAAGACTGGGAAGATTTTGTTTATTACCTACACTGAGTATAGGTAGTAACGGAAAACTCCCCCAGCTGGGAAGGAAAACAGTCATCCAAGTCCAGGGAGCGCAGAGAGTTCCACACAGGATCAACCCAAAGGTACACAGTCATCAAATTGACGACAATTAAGGATAAAGAGAAAATATTAGAATTAGCAAAAGAAAAGCAACAAACAACATACAAGGGAAC